ATAGAAATGATTTAAGGTAAATACCAAATAATGAATAACACCAAAGGATTCATACAGCAATGTTACAACAGCAAAGTACAATGGGAAAGCCAGACTTGAGGAAAACTAGTCTAGTATTTGGTCCATGTCTATAAGGACTCAGCTACATTGGCAAAGAAAAAAACGCTTTATATGTATTATATATGCATTATAACACTGTGACACCAGATGGTGCAGTGGAGTTCTGTTTTCGCCAACCCGATTTCTCATACAAAGTTTACGTGTTTAACTGAAGCACTTCTTTGATCCAGCCTAGGTTCAGTATTAGAAAGAATCGTCTTCTGTAAGCAAATGCAGCTCACTAAAAGAGGCCTTGACATTAGGCACTTTCGCAATGTTTATTTAGAAAGCAGAAAACTTAAAGCAGTGCCTTAAATGAATGAGGTTGTTTTTAAAAATACAGTGAAAAGTCCTATTGGAAACTGGAGCAGCACATCCTCTTAATTGCAGGTTTCTCATGGTACAGTGTGGGGCAATTATAACAAAAGGTATACTTTAATATCCATTAACATCCTAGAAATGTCCACAGAAAGGATGAAAGCAGGGTTCAACTGTCCCGCAACATAAAATCAGGGTTCTGAATCATTCCTTACATTGATAAAATGTGCACATGTACATCAGTTTGCGTATTAGAAACTGCCCCCACTATGAGCCATAGTTGCTCTTCAAACACTCCCAGGTATCTTGAGGATTTGGCAGGGAAGCTGGGTAAGACAGATGATGTGTCACTATCACCAGTGTATTATTTCTCTCCAATTTCCTTCTTACGTCAAATCCACAAAATGGGCAGGGAAGGGAAAAGCAAATATTGGGAGCTGCAGACAACTTCTTACACTCCCCAGGAGAACGATCAAGATTTTAAAACCAAGAGAAAACTTCTATCAATTGCCAGGTATATGAAAGCATTAGCAATCCAGAGCTGCATATACAAAATAATGCCCTTACCTTCTGTCTTAACTGATTTTTAAAACTATTAATCCCTTGGTTATCTACTCATGATCTATTATGCGCTTTACTGAGAAGTATTCTTTGAAAGGTGCAAAAAATATGCCCATTTATTCTTCTTTGACAAACATGCAAGTGGTATCAATAGGATGGTCAAAGGGCAATTAATTCATATTACTTTATATGTTCATACCCAGAAGAATTGCCTTGGACAAAACAGAACTTTGCTCTCAGTTACAGAAATCCATTCATTGTACTATAAATAACTTGAGCATTGTTGCTAAACCAAAATGTGATTTATTACTGGAGAGATATGAAAATATACTGCTTGTATTTACATAAGGAACAGTGCCTAATGAAAAACAAGAATAGTAAAATGTGGCCTAAACATATGAATGCGTGCTTCAATCACAACCTTTCTTTAAAAATCTACTTAGACTGCATAGTGTGTAGGAAATTTGACTATTCCTCCTTACAATGAATTATAGTGCTTACTTTCAATAGAAAAATCTTATAATTCTGTTTTAATTCATGTCAATATTAGACCTTTATACAAGAATGCCAACTAGATCGTGAAGCAAACTTCGTATCACATGCACATACATATACATACACACACAATTTGAAGGAAGAATGAATTTGAGGAAATATACAAGTAGATTGTGAGATTAACTATACAATTAGATTAAAGATCGCTGGTGTTCAGATGGTACGATCCTGCAGGAGTCCTATTTGGAATGGGTGGTCAAATCAAACTCCTGCACCTAGCAGGATTGAACCCTCTTGCTTTGGGGTGGGGAGAGACACAGCATTTGCTACCCCCACCATCTGAAAGGCTGTTCCTACAACGCAGGTGCCTGACAACAAGCAAGACAGTTAAACCACGTATTAAGTTTTCAGAGGCGGAATTCAAGTTTTCAGAATTTCTTTCTAATGCCTTGCTCCACACCTTAAACCAAGTAGGTACAGTCTTCAACACAGATTATTCTTAACAGTCAAGCCATTATGTGTGCAATCTTAGTGCTCTTTCACTCAGCTGCAGTTTCTCATTTTATAATTTCTAAAATTTTGGCCCAGATCCCATTAACGATTTTCTGTTTGCAGCAGCCTTTTAATGTTTTAGAATAGAACAAGCATCTTTTTTTCTCCTTGAAACTATTCTCATTCGAGATGGGGAAAACATTAGCCAGAAAATATGTGAAATACATGTTCAGAAGCAGAACCGATAGCTTAAACCGAACTGTCATTTAAAAAAAACCCCTGCAAAAAAAGCTTACATTCAAACATGATGAAACAGACACCGTGAAATACAGTCAAACTTCCAGTACAGCTAGAATGCCTTTCTGATATAAAAGCTCAGAGCTGTATCAGGATCTCTCTCGCAGCTTTCCAAGCAGTTCCCTCCTTCCTACATCTCAAGGGGCTTCCCCACTTATTGAAATTGAGAAACGTTGTCTTTTCTTTTACCCTTTGCACTTTCAAGATGTTTATAATCTCACTCATAGCTTTCAAAATCCTTTAGGGGCAAGAACTGTTATGAGAACAATTAGAACAAACAGACAGAGCAAATTGGTGGCTAAACAATGTGTGTGGAAGTGTATGAGTAAGGTCTCATTTTGCCCTTGTCGCTACAGAGAAGCACTTAGGTTTGCTGAAGCTCCCAGGCGTAACTACTTGCAACAACTATAGCCCTCCCCTTCATTTTGCTCATTCAGTGAAGGAAGCCGCAGACAAAATCAGGAATTCCAACACCTCTCAAAGGCAAGTACCGTAAAGTTAGGCACAGCAGGGAACCTGAATGGCATCAGTAAAGGTGCAAGTGTTGCGAGCAACTCTCTATCAAACTGGGGGTGAAAGGTGAGTGAAAAGTCTCCTCACACAATGTTGGAGAACCACCCATAGGGATGAAATATGCCATCCCAAATCAGACCATTGGTTCACCTAGCTCAGTACTGTTCACACCAACCGGCAGTGACTCTCCAGGGTTTCAGGCAGCTGCCTTTCCCAGTTCTACCTGGAGAAGTCAAGGACCGAACCTGGAACCCTTCACAAGCTAAGCATGTGCTCTACTGTCCTCCTCGTATTTAGATATCGCCAACTTCATGTTGACAAAGTGTTTGCTATTGAAAACCTCAAGTCCCATGACTTGATGGATGTGGACACTGAGGAACTGCAGCATGAGTTCAAACAGAGCTCAGAGCCCCCAGTGACACAATGGCTTGGTGCATCTTGGTGCATCTTGCTGTTAACCAGAAGGGTGGTGGTTTGAGCCAAACCAGGGGTTGTTGTGGACACTGCAGGGGGTTGGACTAGATGGCTCTTGGGGTCTCTTCCAACTCTACAATTCTATGGTTATATGAACTGTTGGAATTGAGCAGCTTTTTATAAGCACGGTACATCATCTCCATCTATTTTTAGTGATCGAAGGATTGTTGTCCTCATATGAATGAAGTGTATATATGTGGCCTTTCATAACTTGAGTTCAGCTTGTGACGTCTGAGAAGGTGTCTTTCATCTCCCTTCACTGTAAGATGCACAGTAGTTTAGTGCACAAGGCAGTGTTGGCAACAGCTCTGTATGGTTTCGTTTTTATACCTTTGTTATTTGTTGAAGACCTCATGCAATGTTAAACAAATCATCTGGAGACAGCTTTCTAAGACCTTCTTAATGAAATTCAGTGGTTCCTTACTAGCAACAGAGAAGGAGTCTGTTTTAATTGTATTTATTATTTATTATTTATTATTAATTAATTAATTAATTAAAAATTAAATAATAATTAATAATAATAATAATAATTAAATAAATTGTATTTATACATAGTATTTGGTGGTTTCAACCTGCTCAACCTTTGCTTACTTCAGTCCACTTCTTCCATTAAGCACTGGCTTATATCTTAGCCTTTTTCTTAGTTAATTTCTCTCCCCCCCCAACAAAAAAGCAAACAATATGCAAAATTATATGCAAAGATACAGTTAATACACGTGATAAAGTCAAACTCCACGTGGCACTGTATTCTGCTGAATAGTTTTATACTATAGATAACACAACTTTTTTACACAGTGATATGCATTGCTGTATGTACTGGTTTATGTGCTGATTAAATTAGGAAACTTGAGAATGTATATGTATGTAATATGATAGGGGGTTAGCAGGGGAGGTGCACCGTGCTTCCCTTTGGGTGGGTCTCCCTCGTGGATCTTGGCAATCTGATGTCTGCACAAAAGCTCAGCTGGGTAGGGTTGCTGCTGGGCCACAGCACCCCAGGTTGCCTATGGGGCAAATCCAATTGGCCTGTGCTAGTGGACCTGGCAACTGGACAGGACTGGAACATCAGCCAACTGGAGTGCTGCTCAATGACAGGATCCCTGCTCTATGCCATACTATTCTTACTGCTCCAAAACCAAAATAAAGTTGTTCCTTGAGTGGATTATTGCTTCTAGACTGAGTGCACTAAATTCCACCCAGCTCCTTATTCCTTATGCTTTTTAGAAAAATCATACCATCAGTGAACGATACTCCGGTTTTGCTCATGGTTAAGAATTCTCAAAATGGATAGATCGAACCACCACTGAGCTGTGCAGAAATCATTTTGTAATGGTGAAAGCCTTTGCCAAACTTTCAAACAAATTTGTTGCTGCTGTACCACTTGGGTATTTATGCTGATTTGTCTGCTTATTTGCATTGGGTGTCATATCTTAAATATACATTCTTATTTATTCAGTATGTCGGTGTTCATTTTAATGCACGCATCTAGGTTTATCACCACCACATATTTTTCTTTGTGACTTTTAGGGAATGGCCCTCCTTCTTTCGAATGTCTGTGTTTGCAAGCTGCATGTAATAACCAACACAGGAAAATGAAGTTGTTTTTATACTCCATTAATGTTCCAAATTTATAATGCACTTATTTTTAATGGACTGAAAAGTTTAGCTTTACTGTTGCAACATTTTATTTTGAAAGGAATGATTCAGTTGCAGCTCTAATTTAGAAATTATAGATAAACATATATCCTCACCTCCAAGGCAGCCAACAAAGGAAAGCAGGAACATCTGTTTCCATAGTAACAACATCTTCAGCTGCCAAAAGTTAGAAGTTCTTGTCCAGCCTCAAATGAACAGTACACTTAAGTCTTCCACACAGAACCTTTAATCTGTTAAAACAACATGAATACACAAATAATTTAATTATAGGATTCACCACATGAAAAGCATGTTATCTGTCACATGAACTTTTTAATGGAAGGAAGATTGATGCTCCCTCATGGCCGTAAAAAATTATTCACTCTTCAATTCAGGCTCGGTAAAAAAACTATACTTAGAATTAGAGAATTACACACTGTGCCAGCTAGCAATCAAGTAATCTTCTTTCTTTGGGAGTGCTGTTCTTGCTGTGGCTTCAATAAGCAGAGTTGGTGTGTTCCAAAATCTACTTTATCTTGCCAGTGTCAAAGGACCACCTGAGAGGAGTCTCATCTTAAATGTGGGTAATGGTAGACATAGAGATTATTCCAGGCAGTTCCAACTGGACCCAGAAGGTGTTCAAACAAGACCCAAAGGTGCATGCAGAAGGTATCAGGTTCAATCCCTGGAATCTCCAGGTTGGTCTGGGAAGGCCCCCTGCCTGAAAGACTGGAAAGCCTCTACCAGTCAATGTAGGCAATAACTGAGCTAGATGGATTAATGTCTCTAACTTAGAATAAGGTTATTTCCTGTGATCCTAACATAATATTATATTAATTACTATATCTGCACTGGAATTCCAGTGACCTGGATAGCATCTCTGACTACAAAAGGAAAATAATCTAGATGTGTATGCAAATTCATTCTCAAATTTAGAAAAATAAATAAATGAATAATTGCCGTAAAGCAATACTCTCAAGCACAGCAATGGTTCAGTCAAACAAATACCAGAATTTTAAAGTGCACACAGTAATCCCATCAACAGACCTACTCAAGCTTTCTTAAACCTTAGACCGAACTCCACAGAGAAATCACATGCTTTACAACTACAGCTCCTTCACAGATAATAGCCACAGCTCTTTCACCCATAGGCACATGGTAGATTTCCTCAATGTTCATATGTATTTGTGGGTTTTCATCTGCTTGATTTGCTTCTTCTTTCCTCTCCTCAGACATTTTGAAATGTACCTCACCTTCGCTCGCTCCATCCAGCCCCTAACAGATGAAAGCATCTTTCCTATTTCTCCACCAGCAGGAACCATCAATGGTATTACTAAATTCTGCCTGGTGACACAATCATGGATATACAATAAAGAGCATATGACAGGCAGCCAGGAAACAAGTCTTCCTCCTGGTACTTATGCAGCTCACCATTATAAGAATTACAGTATCTTCATTTGGAGATCAAAACAGGCTTTCTTTAAAAAACAACCCAAAAACTAATGTTGCCATGTTAGCCCAACAAATCTTCATGAACCTTAATGCCTGGCTACAGTACAGGGGTGGAAATATGCCATTTCCTTTATATTTCATACCTGAGGCTAGTTTAAATGATTAGGTTTATTCAAAGAAACAACTATGTTAAAAACCAGTTGTGTTAGCCAAATTGCAGTGTTCTGTAAGAACTGGCTAATGTGCCTAATATATTTGACACTTCCATGACTTTTGTTGCATTACAAAAAATACCAATATGAGATTTTTTTCAATATGTATGTATGTATGTATTGGATGTCTGTGGGCTGAAAAGAAATAAATTTGTGGACTGTTAAGTCCCAACAGTTCTCACTGCCTTTCACATCTTTTAATCCACTACAAACTGATGCTTTCGTGCACTGGAAATCTCAACAGTCATATAAACTTCTCAGTGAAAGTCATTAAACAAAGGGGAAAGCCACATCCAGGGAAAATGCAGAGAGCATTGTTAGTTTTAATTGTACTCAAATGTCGGGGTTTAAAAGGGCTGCATGTGGAAATTTGCTAAGGCTTTAAGGCAGCACTCCCCTGTTGCAGAATTCTTGCATCTTATCTTAGAAAAAGAGCCACAATGTGAATTTGAGTTGGAGTATTAATAATCTTGCCATTTAAACTCAGTCAGGTACAGTACTTTTGTGGGGGTTTTTTTTATAAAAAAAGGCAAAGCTTGTATTGCTGTTCCATTTGTATAACTGAGTCTGCTCTATAATACCTTAGAGGGAAACAAAAATTTCATCATTATTCAATTACCCGTTGAAGAAACAGGAGTATTATCACCATGACACAGAGGTCACAAGTGCCCGAAGAGATTATATTACAAAAGTAATGAAAAATTATGTTTCCAATTATATTCTGGCATGATTATTCAGCTCGTGAAAATATAGGTGTTTGCCTCAGACTATTCAATGATACTGTTTGAGGTCTCTGAACTTTTCAAAGTGAAATATATTTCATATATTCTATAAAGCAGATTACCAGCTTTTAAAATGCATAAAATAAATGTCTTGGGATTCTCCCCAAGCATTTATCTCAGCATCAAATTGTACAGCAATTACACAATATATACTAGGACATTTCCTAAAATTTACATGGGTTGCAATCTTTAACCAATATCTGAACTCTTTCAGATGCTTTGAAATGCACTCTCATCCACAGTCTCACCCAAAAAACTGAAATTATTTTATATATTTATTTCTAAAATTAATGTCCTGAATGCTAGCTGATGGCAGCTTACAAAAGTCATTAATACATACATACATACATACATACATACATACGGTAAAATAACCAAATTATTGACACACAATCAGGATTACACATTAGGTTGGACATAGACATTAAAATTGATCTTTAGAATTGTACCCAAACTCTAAAACTACAGAAGTATGGATTTTTCTTTCTGCATCTCACTTCATTCTGAGGCAACTCACTTCGTCGGCCAACACTCTAAAACTACAGCTGATGGCAAATATGCATAGATGGTCGATAAGTTTTCATTCATTCATTTATTTAATAAAATTTATACACACCTTGATTGCAACCCCCCCCCAAGCCGTTTACAAAAGATAAAACAGCAAAATCAATAAAAAATTACAACTATACAGGAAAACATGCAAAAGTTATGCTACTAAAACAGAATCTCAACTTTCTAAGCATCTGGGTAGGCTTGTCTAAACAGGAATGTTTTGACGTATAGGAGTACAGTGAAGGCATCTGCTTGATCTCAACAGGCAGAGAGTTCTAAAGTGCAAGTGCTGCCACACTAAATGACTGAGTTCTTACAAAAGTGGAACGGGAATAATGTGGCATCTGTAGAACTGCCAATTCTGCTGTTCTAAGCAGTTGAGTGATTTTACTTTCTTGGGCTCCATGATCACTGCAGGTGGTGACAGCAGTCACAAAATTAAAAGACGCCTGCTTCTTGGGAGAAAAGTGACAACAAACCTAGACAACATTTTAAAAAGCAGAGACATGACCTTGCCGACAAAGGTCCGTATAGTTACAGCTATGGTTTTCCCAGTAGTGATGTATGGAAGTGAGAGCTGGACCATAAAGAAGGCTCATCGCCGAAGAATTGATGCTTTTGAATTATGGTGCTGGAGGAGACTTTTGAGAGTCCCATGGACTGCAAGAAGATCAAACCTATCTAGTCTTAAGGAAATCAGCCCTGAGTGCTCACTGGAAGGACAGATCCCGAAGCCGAGACTCCAATACTTTGGCCACCTCGTGAGAAGAGAAGACTCCCTGGAAAAGACCCTGATGTTGGGAAAGATTGAGGGCACAAGGAGAAGGGGACGACAGAGGATGAGATGGTTGGACAGTGTTCTTGAAGCTACCAGCATGAGTTTGACCAAACTGCGGGAGGTAGTGGAAGACAGAAGTGCCTGGCGTGCTCTGGTTCATGGGGTCATGAAGTGTCGGACATGACTAAATGACTAAACAACAACAAGCAGTTGAGTGGGCACATTTAGGGCAAGGCAATCTCAAGGGTAAATATGTAGGTTCATTAGGACTTAAATAACAAAACAAACAAACAAACTGGAATCTGATTTGGAATTATGGAAAACTGAACTTAGGAAAACTAGACTTAAGAGGGGGGGGGAGAGAAACTGTGAAAAAACAATAGCTTCAGATACAGAGCATAACCGACAAAGTCTTTAAGAAGAGCCCCATAACCTGAGGTACCACTGTACTAATAATGCCTCCATCCCATCCATTTATCAATCTTCAAGCAGTCCATTGCCAAGTCGAAACACTGATTCAGCACTAGCATAGCCTCACCTGACTCGGATAATGAAGAGAATAGAGTTCAGCGTCATCAGCATACTGATGGTACCCGTTCTACAAACCCTCAAGTGAACTCACTCAAAAGCTTCAGTGAGATCAGCAGAGAGGAACCTCAAACCCTGCTGGCAACCAGAACTCTCCCCATGTCATGAACCTAACCTCAAGTATGATAGCCTGGCTGAGGTATGTCCTTGAACTCTGATTACGCCTCTTTCTGGGTGGAGGACAGAGTAGGGTATGTGAGTGTGTGTAGTCTACAAAGCTAAAGTATGCATTCATTGTTCCACCCACTTTTGCTTCTGGCCCCACCCACCACTGGCATGTGATCCTTGGAAGATCACCCAGAAGAGCATGTGGCTGAAAAAGGTTCCTTAGCCTGAAAGAAATGTTAGAAAGCAAAGGAGTTAAAACAGAACCTAGATGGATGCCATCGTATGGGTAGAATGGAGTTGAGCAGAACCCATCACTGGTATGTTCTTTAACCAACTCTGCAAACCCACAATATCTTTATGTCTTCTTCCGCCTAGAAACAGATCTTTCTGCAAATCACAATGCAAACCTCCCCTGTCTTGATATCTTGATCTTGACAAGAAGTGAGGTTTTTTTTATCGGTTCCACTAAAAAATACAAACAATTCTAACATATTACACATGTAATATTATATGCATATACACTCTTAAATGAGCAGCACAGAAATAGATACATACGTAGATACTGTACTTATTTTTGCGCATCATCTTGCATATTGATTGCATATAAGGAATTACGATGCACACAAAGAAACACGACGCATGAGTGGTTCGGACATAAGGAGGCACTCAGTGCAACAGATGGCCTGATGCAGGCAAAGCTTGACTGATTCAAAATTGCCAGATTCTGTGTAGAAATCCATTCAAAACAAATTCATCCTCTGTCCATGCTGCCCACAATC